TCGTGCTCTTCGAAGCACACCTCGCGGTGGGCTTCCCAACAGTGCCCCTGCTCTTAGGGAACTGCAGGCCTGCTAGCTTGTCTTTTTGCAATGATTCTTACACAGGATTCATGAAAAATACCATGCTTGAAAATCCCACAGATGAAAGAATTATCTTTAAAAAGCCATAAGAACACTATAATATTGGCTGTGAATTCCTTGGCTCAATCGGCATGTTTGAACGAGTACCAGGCACCTAGTGTTTCGCTTCTTATCTTTTATTATAGAGTACTATTAGGTGACTTTTATAAATATTTTACACACATGTGCGCGGGCGGGTGGGCGGGCATACAGCTTGGAGAGCCCGGGGGAAGCCCCCTGGAGACAGGGGGGGCAGGCAGCTTAGCATGGGGCTGTGAGGTGACAGTGCTTCCCAGCGCTACCCCATGTCACCCCAGAAATGGAGTGAAGCTGCGAACAACAGTGATTGTGATTGTGTTGTGTGCATATGGCCCATGTCCCCATGTCCCCGTACAATATATAATTTTAATAGAAATTGTGAAATCTGTGTGGAAATCATGGCCACTTAAGGATAACCAGAGTTATTGAGCTTTAAAATAAATTACCGCTCCCTTATGGGTACTGAAAATGTGGAATGAAATGTTTACACAGCATCGCCACTAGGGGCAGTAGAGTCTCTAGTACTAAGCCGCTCTAACAACATTTTATTCTGTTTTTTTTTTTTTACATGAAACTTTATTAATTCCCATGGGGAAATTGTCTTTTTGCTTTGCCCCATCTTGTTCTCCGTACAGGTGAGAGCAAGCTTTGGGGTCACAGCCAAGGGGCAGGGCAGCCACCCCGTGGTGCCCAGGGGGCTGGGGATTAAGGGCCGCTCTCAAGGGTCCATGGACATGTGACTACTGTGCCAAGGCCGGGACTCAAAGTGGCGACCTTCTGATCACAGACAGAGGCTTAGCCTGCTGAGCCGCACACCACCCAAATAACAATAAACTGGGGATTAAGAAGCTTGCTCAAGAGCCCAGAGACATGTAGTTATTCTGCAGAGGTCAGGCTCAAACCAGCGACTTTCCGATCATGGGAACACAGGCTTAGCCCACTGAGCCACACACTGCCAACAAGATGTCTAACTAAGAAAAAAAGTCAATTACAAACATTTCAAATACTCACACAAAGAAAAGTGTAGGCATCCTTCATGAAATGTGGTGTCCATGAAGCAAACGTCACCAGAGGCCCGACTGAATCAGTGCCTCAATCAGGATTATTTAGGTGTTTTCCAGAGAAATTAAAATGATGGAAGTCCAATATGGCCCCACGCCATGGGGTTCTGCAGGCAAATTTCCTCCTTATGAGGTGATTGACCTTTGTCTTTAATTTTTCTAGCCGGCAGACCACCTACATAATTGTTGCTGATGAGTTTCGCTGCTTTTTTTCTGAATTGCTAACATGTCCTCAAATAGCAGCAAAAGGATCTGTATATTACAGACAGTTCCCAGGTTAAGAACAAGACCCACTCCTAAGTGTCTTTAAGTATAAAAAAATACAGTAAATAAAATAATAATAATAACAACAACAATAGTAATTATAAAAGTTACTACAGACAGTACTGTACCTGGAGCCGCTGAAGCTGTGCAATGGTTTCACGAGTGTCACAAAGTAATGCCTGCCTTAGTTACCGTAATACAAAGCATTTTAGTATAACAGGCTTCACTCCAATCCGTTTGTCCATAAGTCGGGCGTTCTTAACCTGTGGGCTGCCTGTGCTTTGAAACGGTGTTTAGTATTTTTTAGATTAAATCACTGAGTCTGAGTCAATCACCGACCTTCAAAATTGGTTGAATGATGTTTGGAAACTAAGGGAAAGCGTTTCTGCCTTTTGGAGACATCTGGGCGTCCTGTAAGTGCCACGTAGGCTTGCTGACGGTGCGGTGATCACTCCGCCGATACCGTCTATAACCCCGGGTGGTACTGCATTGTCACGTCCTCCTGCAAAAGGCTGCATTCCCTAATTACCGCAGCAGAAATGGCCGGATGGCAGAGAAGATCTAAAATGTAAGCAGGGCGCAGACCCTCTGGAAGAAGAGCAGGAAAAAGGCAGACTCAATTTTTTTGTACAAAGCCGCAAAAGTGAAAAAGGAGGGAGAGAGAGATGTACGGAGGAAAAAAAAAAAAAAGAAAAAAAAACAGCAGTTGGTGGTGGAATGAAAACAGTTACAGGCCACTTGTGGTCTACGATCTCATCCCGAAAGGACTTCACAGAAATGTGTGTAATAGAAATCAGGAGGCTGATAAAGTAAATATGGTGATGCTGTGGGAAATCAGGAGATTATGGAAACCAGCATGTAAACAGTAAGCTTGCATTTCATTGCTCTAATACATCTAATGTACACATTCCATTGTTTTTTCCATTATGTTGTATTAGATTTATACAATTTAATACATTTTTTTGATGTATTGGCACATTGTTTAATATCCCTCTTAATTTTACCCAAACGCTACCACAATACTATAATACTTTTATTTTTGCAGCCTTTTCATAATGAAATGCACTGATTACCAATTTTAAATTACTTGCATTAAACATCACAAAAGCATGTGTAGCTTTTAATACAGGAGATTAGCAACAATAGTCTTTGCCTTTTGTTCTCCCCAGAAATGTCCATATGGTATATTAAAGAGATAATAAATCACGCTACCGACTACAGGGACTCAGTAGCGCCGCCCTGTCTGTTGCTGGTTCTTTACTGTACCAGGATGGGCCAGGAGCGCAAGTATTACGGTGTTTAAGTGTCTGGGCACTTAAACGTCACGCTACTTATTTCATAAGCTGCAAACGAGACGAGAGAGTCATCTCTCCATTGTTGACAGCCATGTGCAATTCATCCTCGGGCATATCCGGGTATCCGGGTAACTGCTAGACCAGCGGTGCGATGCCCTATTTAGCCTAACTTTGACCTGTAAGATACCTGTGCTCCTGAGCGCCTCCGAGTGGCTGGAGGTCCCGCCCCGGGCCTCTCAGGCCAGAAAGCGATGACAGAGACATCAGGGAGGCTCTGAGCCGTGGAGAACTTCGAGCTATCAGCTCTGATCTCCGTGTACGTTTGCAGACTGCCGGGCAATAAAAGGATAATTACGTGTACAAATCAAACGAATGAGCCCCGGCCATGTGCCGTGCTGACAAACATTATGATTTGCTTGCAACGGCATTACGCTGGCTATATAAGAAGGTTCCGGTAAAGTGCTGGCCTTTATGTTTACATGGCTGACTGAATGGCACGCAGCGGGCGTGCACCATAGGTCAGCTGCCTCTATGCGTTTCTGACAGGACACGTCCTGGCACGACTGATCGGGGGCAACCTCACCCTAGTAGCCTGAAAAGGTGAGCGCGTTATTGGGAGTTATTATTTCACTTGGGTTGTGTAACAGTAAGGGGAGGGGCGGGGATGTGGACAATCCGGGCCGGGGCGAAGTGAGGTGACGGGCCCATTCTCTCAGCAGTACCTAAGTACCGATAAAATTAAATGACCTTCTGCTTTGTCTCCTGGGCCTCAGGACAGGCAAGCGGACCTCGGTGCCCAATCCAGCCCCCCGCCGGTACCCTTCCCAAGTCCCATCGTCTGTTTTGTTTGCCAGTGTGTTTCCCTTGTGCTGAAGGCAAAGCGGCTGCCTTTCGTAGCCTAATTTAAGTCCCTCTTCCATCCTCCCATTCCTGTAGCATGCTTCTGCTAGCTGCCTCACACAAGGATGCAGAGGTGATGGTTTGTTTGCATTGACGGTAAAACGGAGTGTCGTCGAGCATCAAGGTCACTGATAACCGGCCCGGTGGGCCGTCAGGCCCGTGCGCGCTTTGTGGCTTTGAGGAAGAGCGCGTTGTTGTTCCAAGCGCACCTGACGCAGCACATCGATTGGTCTTTATCGACACTGCATTGTGCTGTCATTAGGGCTGTGATTTACGTTTCTGATCCGGACACCCCCGACCCCCAAATTACTAAAATATTAGCATTGTGTGACGGCCGCTGACTGATGCGAATACGCCGAGGGTAAACAAGCCGTTTTTCATCCCCTTGGTAAAAAAAAAAACAAAAAAAACAATGCAATCCTCATGAATCAGGCCTGGATGTGACTTTTTAGCAGGAGACAGTGTGTGTATTCAATATCCAACAGCGTGAACCTCCCATCTGACAGCCTCGGCTCCGTCTAAATGTCAAAACAGATGATGTCGGTGCGAATCACTCCTAACTACGGGGTTAATGAGGGAACACAGCTCCGCATGTCTGTATTTATGGCCACATAGGAGGAAGCTATTATCAAAGTGTGTCCGGCCTCGTGGCCGTTCATTATCCACTTTCATTTTTTAAGAGAGAGATTCTGTGACACTGTTTAATAAAAAAAAAAAAAAATAAAAAAAACCCTTACATTTTGTGTAAAAACACAGCACTGCGTGATATCAAGCTAAAGCAGAGGCCAGATTGAAAATCCATGTGATGAGCTAATCTTGATCTTGGAGCCCAGGTTTATACCTTTGTGTTTGTCCCAGCAGTCAAATACCCAACATCACCTTACACTGCCCCCCCAGCAATGCTTGCCACATAGAGTCAACTGGCTAACTGCGAACATCTCTAATTAACCAACTCTTCTAGTGTTGCTGCATGGTTCGTACCTACTGGCATTTCCCGAGACGGCTGAATGGCCTCGACGGCCCTCCAAGGCGCCCGCCCGCCCACATGAGTGATTGTGGTGTCTCACAGGCACAGACAGTGATGAAAAGGCTGATTTCCACCTTCCCACACAAAACGCTGCGGCGGTAATGGTGGACGCCGCACCCAGCGTACAAAACGGAGCGAGAGCCGAAGAATCGGGCGGGTTTACGCGAGTGCGCTTGCTCCTGGCATGGTAGGCAGCCCAGTCCGAATGCGACAGAATGAACGCAGCAGGCTCACAGACGTGCGAACCCCGTCTACACACACACTCACACCGCAGCGTCTAAATGGCGCACTGACCTGCCCAGCTGGGGGTCTCCATGTACAGACGAACGTGCTGACTGGGTTGACTCACTGCTGCCACAGGTGTTGCTGACCCCTGCAGGCGAGACAATGCAAAAGCATGTAGACACGGGAGAGGCAGGCTACAAGATGCTCATCATTTATACATGCACTTACACATCTTAATCTGATGTCGGTTTGTTTACAATGTGTGACAATGGAAAAACTGTAAAGAGTTAAGCCATATTAACAGCCGTTGAGGAAGTACAAAAATGAGAAAGATACCTGGATATATAGTAACACTTTACATTAATGCATCTTCATAATGCCTTTTATAATACATTCATAGAACATTCATAAGCAGCATGTAAGTATACCAAAACATCCTAGCATACCTTAACAGTTTTAATATGCATAAATATCAGACATTATATGATTATTTTAATTCAGACATTATTATTGTATAATCTTATATTTGTTGTTAATGTAAATTACAGCTGTTAAGATATGTTAGGATGTTAAGGTATACATACATGCTGCTTATGAACGTTCTATGAATGCATTATGAAGGTGCACTGAATGTTCTATGAATGCATTATGAAAGTGTAAAGCATTACCCAATATACAGTATTAAAAATGGCACTACAGGAATAATAGATATTTATAAAACAAACAAAAAAAAACACAAAATATTTCAGTCCAGTACTGGATTAGGGATTATATCCTAATTGATTATATCCTAATTATTCACAAACATTACATTATATAATAATAGTCACTAATGGTTAAGCATTCTCACAGTCCAGTACTGGATAAGTGATTAAAGGTGAACAGACAGGGGAATGATGGATGGGTGCTCAAACATCAAGGGCTTCAATACTTTATCGTTTATAATCTCAGGTGACCTGCTGTTTTTGCAGCAGGACCGATATCAGCAGTATAAACTCAGAACACAGGAAAGGAAATGCAACAGCAATGGCTTCAGCTTTCACCAGATCCTTTGGAAACAGGACAGTGATAGAGGGCCGGGCACATTAATTGCGGACACAGCACTCATTTTAAACAGTGAGAATGTCTCTAAAATAGCATTTCCATAGTCTCTTATGAGTTTTCAAGGAATCTTATGAGAGGAATAAGAATGGGAGGGAATGGCTGATTTTTTTTTTTTTAGTTCACAGGTGACAGATAGAGGCTTAATTTACGATTGACGATTAATGAGAAACACACAGGCAGTGTGTTTGGGTATGTACAGTCAGCCCAGCATCACGGCACCTTTCATAACAAAGTTACGATTATGGCCTGATTTGGTCCGTACCAATGGAAACCAAATATAAACCCTGCGGGGGTGGGGTGGGGGGCAATCACACATGGTCCATAGCCAAATCTACGCCCTTGGGAGCAGGATGTCAAAAAGCATAAGCACAGAACGTTTATAGTTCCCATGCTGCTACTGTGTCCAACCTGAACGCGGCCCATGCCCATTCACATCGGTCCCCTTTCCCTCTCCCTCTCCCCACAGTGTTCGGGATTTCGGCGGGAGAGCGGACCACAGCGTGTCTAATCCCTCCCCCTGCTGACAGATACCCCAGCGATAGGCGTGTGTGGCTGCGTGGCTACGGCACGACGCGCTAATTCCACCGCCCCCGCCTCCGCCCCCCTGAATGGCTTACTTTGCCGTGTTTGCCTGGTGTAACTAATCATTTTCTAATCGACTCTTCAGGCGGTGGTGGGGGCGCTGAGGCGCGGCTGCCTGCGCCTGCACCCCGCATGCTCTCATTATGCAAATGGAGGCAGGCGCTCATGAAGACAGGCACAGGGGTCCTGAAGGGCTCCGATAAGCCTGGGACGACGCCCAAACCCGCTCGCAAAGCCTGTAGCCAAGCATGTACTAACGAAAGTGCTGAGCACGGACAGTGACGCTCCCCGCATGCTCGGTGACTTGAGGAACGCAAGGTGGGGGGGCTTTCATGGCCAATAAGACGATGCAGTAATATCTGAGTAGCTATTTTTCTAAACACCGAGGCCACAGCACTGCACAGGGGATGAAAAAAGCATGTCAAAGTGTCATTAGGGCCAATACACCTGCATGTCAGCCTCTCAGCCCCCGCCTGACTCCATTTGCAGGGTTTGTTGTGCATTTTTTTTTTGGGGGGGGGATGTATTCTTCCCTCTGTGGGGAATGGGAAAGATTTTCGAAATAGTAATGAGATTCCAATTGGTTTAAAAGTGGAGGAATCCAGGCAGCTTGGGTCATTCATTACACGCTGTGGTAAAAGCAAAGTTTCTTTGCGTTCTCTTGGTAAGGATGGAATCTAAAGATCCAGGGTGGGGAAAAACAAACAAATTGTGAAGCTTTTAGTTTACAAAGGCTATCGGCTGACACCCATGCGAAACCCCAGAGAATATGTGCGGTACACTAAGCAAACACTTCTTCCCACTTTTATTATCCTAATTACGAGCCCATTACGGCTGCGATGGCGGTTATCCTGATTAAAAATGCATCGCGGGCCGGCCGTTTGCACGGCGCCTGATGACACTGTTGCTTTAGACGCAGGGCGGGCACTGTTTAATGGTTAACATTAATGTGATCTATGGGCCTAATGCGTTTCCGGAAAAGGGCACGCGTCAGGAGGGCCACCGGCATCCCCTCTGATGGAGCGCCTACTACAGCCCGCAGGCCATCACCCCACCCGGCGTGGGGGACGGGGCAGTCGCTCGGACTGGCTGCACCCCTGGGGTCCAGGAATTAGCATCCCATGGCTTGGAAAATTTGAGTCCAGGGGAGTGCAGTGCCTCTTGGGCCTTGTGGGTGAGACTGCCCTTTAGGGTGCCTCGTAGAGTTAGAAGCTTCACAGGCTGTGGTGGCATCTGTATTTATGGATAAAGGGACAGCTGTGTATGGGCCGAGCGTGCAAGGTGTTCTTACAGGCCTTGCTTGCTGCTGTCCCCGTGTGGCAGCAAGGGTCCATGGCTGTGCAATTGGTAACACAGCAAATGCACACCAGGAGCAGACGGCACTGATTCACCCATTTGAGGTGTCCCCCGAGTTGGCGCTGGCCCAGGACCTCCCCCATCCCAGAGAGACCTCTTTGATTCACTCCCCCGGAAATGACCCCCTCTCCTCACTCCCCACCCTGGTCCCTCTAGACCCGACTCACCTCTTTGCTTAATTAATTGCAATCTCATGGCTCCCAGCGCTTTTTTGGGAGCGTTGCCAACACAATTTGTCATTTTATCAAAAGTAATTAAAAGCTGTTCTTTTTCCTGTTCTACAGGACCTGATTAATTGTTTGGGTAAGGAGAGGGGATAAATAATATGAAACGGAAGTCGAGGGCTGAATAAAAAATTATCAGGATCACCCTAGTTGTGCCTTTTTTAGTGGGGGTAGGGCTGGAGGAATAACTGCTGTTTTGGTACATGAACCACACACCTAATGCCACAGACATTAGGTGGAATGCGAGTTTGGCTGCGCATGCTGCCAGCGCACTGCCCGTCCTTACTGCTGTAGCGATGGGGTTAAGCACCAGAGGACTTAGGATTCTGATCTCTGGAGTCCTTTGATCTGGAGCACAGGAGGGCTCTGAAGTGACTGGCTGATTCTATTAAACTCCCACTAATTCAACCCTGGCTTAATCAAATCAAATTTAATAACCCCCTAATAAAATTTCAGCAGTCTCTCTAGTACTGAAGGCCGGAAATAAATAGCGGAATTAGAGGCCATGGCTCCCACTGCCAGACAGGTGTTCCACTTTCCCCCAGAAAACATGCCTTACACAGAGTTCCATTCTGTAGCTGTGGTACTACAGTGGCCACGGGAGCAGATCCCTGACGATAGCCCATGATATCCCGGATTATAGCCCGCATTCCATTAGAGGAATGTATCCCTGACAATAACCCACGTCCCATAAGAGGAGCAGATCCCTGATGATAGCCAGTGTTCCATTAAAGGAATGGATCCGTGACGACAGCCCTTGAGCCATCAGAGAAGCAGATCCCTGATGTTAGCCCACGTTCCATTAGAGAAGCAGGTCCCTGATGTCAGCCCACATTCCATTAGAGAAGGAGATCCCTGATGTTAGCCCACATTCCATTAGAGAAGCAGATCCCTGATGATAGCCCGCATTCCATTAGAGGAGCAGATCCCTGATGATAGCCCGCATCCCATTAGAGGGGCAGATCCCTGACAATAGCCCAATTTCCATTAGTGGAGTGGATCCCTTACAATATCCTAAGTTACGTTAGAGGAGCAGATCCCTGATGATAGCCCGCGTTCCATTAGAGGAGCAGATTGCTAACAATAGACCAAATTCCATTAGTGGATCAGGTCCCTGATGACCTGATTTCCATTAGTGGAGTGGGTCACTGACAATATCCTAAGTTACGTTAGAGGAGCAGATCCCCACTGATATCCTGCGTACCATTAGAGGAGTAGATTGCTAACAATAGCCCAAATTCCATTAGAGGAGCAGATTGCTGATGATAGCCCGCATTCCATTAGAGGAGCAGATTGCTGATGATAGTCCGTGTTCCATTAGAGGAGCAGATTGCTGATGATAGCCCGCATACCATTAGAGGAGCAGATCCCTGACGATATCCTAAGTTCCATTAGAGGGGTAGATTGCTGATGATAGTCCGTGTTCCATTAGAGGAGAGGAATCGCTGAGGATAGCCTGAATTCCATCATAGGAGCAAAATCGCTGACTATAGCCCAAGTTGCATCAGAGGAGCAAAATCGCTGACGATAGCCCAAGTTCCATTAGAGGAGCAGGTCCCTGACGATAGCACGATAGCCCATGTACCATTAGAGGAGCAGATGTTTGATGACAGCCCAAATTCCATTCGAGAAGTGAACCCCGAAGAGAGCGGGAGTGCAAATGAAGGTTGGAAAGACAGAGAGATCGTCACATTCCCCTCCAGGACTTTGTATTTTGGTTT